ATAAATCTGCCGTTACAAAAACTATGGCATTACCATGGTATCCTGATAATACCACAGTATTAAATGATTATAATGCTCATGTGGTGGTATATTCTGTATGTAATATCAAGTGTATTTAGTCTTTTTTAGGAGAGTGCTAGCATGCAGAACACTACTGAAAAGCAACACTTTTACTATGCATTTGTGCAGCATGACATTGATGCACATTATGTGACGGTTGAGTTTGTCATCTTTAAATGAGTTTTACAATGTCACTGTATTCAGAGCAATGCACTTTATTTTGCAGGTTTAGTGCATACTGTATGTGATGCTGAATCTAAATGAAAGCAACTACTATAAGATCAAAACCAGTATAATAAAGACCCAAGAGTCTGTGCACTAGTGAGTTTTATCACAGGTGAGTGTGTTATAAATGCTTTGTGCTTTAAAGGATCCTTTCAGGGGTTTTTTGGGGTCTCTTCTGGAGTTTGACCTTTCCTGGTCACTCGCTGCTTTCATCACACGGAGTAAAAGACTGAAGAAAGAACGTTTGGTGAGTAAATGATGGAGTTTGTTTATATTCTTTTAAAGTTTTCTTGTTCCTTGAAAGCTGTTTCTCAAGTTTGAGACTCCACAACAATACTTGAACTCGTACGTTTCCTCTGGGAATCTCCTGTAATGGCAACTAATTATAAAATTTTTTAAATTTAATTTTAGTCTATTAATTTCTGCTCTTTTTAACCAATGAATTTGCATGACTTTCCCAGTCGTTCATGACTTACTGAATAAGGATAAAAAATATTTTAATATAATTTTAAAACTTTAAATATTTATAAACACAATATGTCATCAATAGTGTATAATATATATATATATATATATATATATATATATATATATATATACAGATGAGGAAAAAAAATTAACTTAAATGATTTTAGCAAATGGCTGCAATATAACAAAGAGTGAAAAATTTAAGGGGGTCTGAATACTTTCCGTACCCACTGTATATATATAAAAAAAACTCAATTTCTACCCAATGAAATATTATGTATATTCATTATACAAATGCCCATAGTGTTTTATTGGGTAAGGATATATTATAGGATTTATTGGGTAAGGATATATACATTTCAGAGCTTGGCATAAAACAGTATATTCATGAATGTTTTATTCATTAAAGATTTTATTAGTTTGCATTTTCCAGATCTAAAAGTGTTTAAAAAGAGGCTCCCAGGTTTTTAATGTTTATGGGAATCCTGGTTCTTTTTGAGAGAGTGAAATAAAATAGGAAATCTTTGATTTGTAGTTATTTTAGCTGATTTTAATGCCTGTTTTGTGATATTTGAAGCCGTCTTGAGGCCCCGTGATGAAGTGTTTTGTTGTGTTGCTGTCAGTCAGTGTCCAGCAGGAGGCGCTATAGTGTTAAAATAAGTCTCTGGTATGAACTACAGACACAGAAAGCTCTTCAGGTTTTTCTACGTCCTTGCATATGCGTCTTTACATTAAATTGTCCTCATGTGTAAGTCGCTTTGGATAAAAGCGTCTGGTAAATGTAAATGTAAATAAAAGCCAAGGGAAATCTGTCGCTCGTTTGTAAGTTAATGAGATCTGAGCTCAGATTCTCTTGTCGCAGAAGAGCTGAGATTCACGCTAATGAAAGCAGACATAAGTCAGCATCTTCAAAGACACTCTAATACTTCACATATTTGGAAAGAGTTCCACTAAAAATGCTTGTTTGTCAGGATGTAATTAGTGGCTCGTTATAAATGGACGAAATGCACCAATACATTCAGAACAAATGAGATCATGACTTTAATAAAGACACGACTGCATTACTGTAAGAGACAGGAGACTGAGGAAACAAGCTATGAATCTGCCTCTGAATTATATACACTTATATATATATATATATATATACAGTATATATATACAGATTATATAGTAAATTTTTAGCATTTAAAATACATAAAAAATTATAAAATGATCAAACACTTATAATAAAAAAATATAATATTTGAATATTTTTCAAAAATATTTAAACTCCATTTCTATCCAATAAAACATTTAAATATTTTAGAACTTAGCATAGAAAAATGCATATTCATTATAGAGATGCATAACCTTTTGATTTTATTAATTAAAAATCTTTTTAACCAATGATTTGGCATGACTTCTCTAGTTGTTCATTATTTACTGCATAGGAATTAAAAATATTTTAAGAAAATAATTGTAATTTACATTTTTAATATTTTTTTTAAAGCATGATATCATCAATATTATTCTATCCAATAAAATATTTTAGAACTTAGCATAGAAAAAAGTATAATAATTACACCGATGCATAGCGTTTTATGATTTTATTAATTTGTATGATTTTTTTTTTTTCAGAACTAGAAATATTTTTTAACAAATGAGTTTGCATGACTTTTCCAGTTCGTTATTTACTGGATAAGGATACAAATATTTTAAGAAAATAATTGTAATATTTTTTTTTTTTTTAATTTTTAAAAATGATATTTTTAATATCTTAATATCAATTTCTATCCAATAAAAAATATTGTAGAGCTTAATTGGCATGAAAATTTATATTCATTATACAAATGCCCATAGCGTCTTAAGATTTTCCAGGTCTAAAAATTGATTGTGAGAACCCTGGTTCTTTTGAAGGGATGAACTAAAATAAGAAATATATTAGATTTTTAGTTGTTTTCAGCTGATGTTTTGTCGTATTTTAACTCCTGTGATATTAAGAAAACACTAAGTAGTTCTGATCATGTCATGTTGTTTCTCTGCTGGTTAATTAGTGATTCACTCTCTCTTTCTTCAGTCGTTTCAGGGGACTTGACTGGAGATCTGGGACTAATGAGGTTCAGGGTTCACTCATATGCACAGTATTATGAAGTGGGCTGGTTTTTGAGCAGGTCCTCTGAATGTGTGTGCTGGAATCATGACTCAGATCTGCTGAGTTTCTCCTCGTGGGACGCAGAAATCGCCTGAGAGGCGTCAGCGTTTCCCTCGACTCGCTGCTGATCACAGCATGAACAAAATAAAACGCCTCTCTTTTAGAAACACAGTTTACATGCAGATCTGTCTGACTGATTGACTGCATGTGAATGCATCTCTCTCTTTTGTTGTTTTACACGGTTTGAATTATCAACATGCTGGGAAGAACAAAAGTACATCAAAGTGAAATTAGAAAATGCAAATGCGATATAAAGTTGTTACATTTGTTTTCATTCTTTGCATTACACACTCACACACACACTCACACACACTCACTCTCACACACACACACACACACACACACACACACACACACACACACACACACACACA